AAGATGTAATGAAAAATGAATGATATAACCAGCACAAATGACTAACATTCTAGATCAAATAAAGGTTCAGAATCACTACACTTTAATTCTAGTCCTCTGTCTGCCTCCTTGATTCTACTTCAGTCACTTACTCTTTTTTTTTTCTTTTTAAGATTTATTTATTTATACAAGCACTGGGTACAGCCAGAAGTGCAGGAGGGTGAGAGAATCCACCAGAACCAGAGAGGGGAGCAGAACAAGCAGAATGATGAAATACACTGCTGAGGGGAGCAGCGGGCAGCAGGAGAAGTCTGTGCGCCATGTGGGACCCTCGGCGGAGGCCGGGGATCAAAACCGGCGCTGCAGAGGCTGCAGGCAGCTTCCCAGTCCAGCGCTCAACCGCTGTGCCACTGGGGAGGCCCTCAGTTACTTACTCTTAAGTAATCCTGTTGAAAGCCATCATTCTTAGTCTTTCTTTAATTTTACTACATTTTCATATAGCTAGTGTATCATTTATTTTTACACTACTTTATATTCCATATAAATGGAATGATATTGCTTACATTCTTCAGTGTGTTTTTATTTTTTATGGTATGCTCCTGAGATTGCCTTTTGTGGACTGCTGAAACAGCTTTGTAAATTATTCCACTGTATGAATAGTCAATGAAATATTTATCTATTCTCTTGTTGAAAGAGATGTCAGTTGTATCCAATATTTGCTATTATAAAAACTGTGTTACACATGTTTTACAGCTCCTGTAGATAAGAGTTTTACTAAGGTGTTTATTAGAAGGAAATAAAATTAAAGTCAACTTTACTAGATAATTTCAAATTGTTTTTCAAATTGTTTTTCAGAGTGTCTAGCTAAATTCGTATGTCTACGTAGAGAGAATAAGAGTGCTTCTTATACCATAAATTCACCAAAATGTAAAATATCTGACTTAAGTCAATTAATTAGGTACTAATTAGTATTTCATTTTGGTCAATGATTAGATCCTGAATGCTAATATAGTTGGGCATCTTTTCACATGCTTATTGGCCACTGAGATTTCCACTTCTATGACAGGAGTTTGAGTTGATGGGCCACATGCAGTCTTTTCTTACTGGTTCGTGGAAACATTTTAAATAATTCTCTAGTTTTTCAAATATTTTCTTCCAAATTTTGGGTTGTCTTGTCTTTTTGTTTTCTTAAAGGCATTTTTTTGATGAACAAAAGTTCTTAATTTTAACATTAATTTTCTCAATCCTTTCCTCTAAGGTTTTGTTTTAAGTGTATCATGTAAAAAATAATTCTTATGTCATAAAGATATTCTTCTACACTGTTTTCTAAATTTTACAGTTTTGCCTTTTGCATTTGAGTAACTGATCACGTAGTTGAACTTTCAGGTGTGAGAATTGAGACGGGGGTTGAATTTCACCATTTTTCCTTAATTGAAAAGTCCAACATTTGTTATCTAGAGTGTTATCTGTGTCACAAATCAAAACTTCACATTTGTGAGGATTTTTAGGTTCCTTGGCCAGTTTGTCCATTCTTTTGCCCTACTGTCTAAATTACTATAGTTTATCTTTTTCCTTTTTTTTAAAAAAGATTTATTTATTTATTCATACAAGAGCTAGGGTGCAGGCCAGAGATGCGGGGAGTGAGAGGATTCATCAGAGTGGGGAACAGAACAGGCAGACTGACTGAAATACACTGCTGAGGGGAGCAGCGAGCGAGGCAGGAGCATTCTGCCATGCCATGTGGGTTGCTCCCTGGCCAGGTGGGGATCGAACTTGTGCTGCAGAGGTTGTGGATTGCTTCACAGTGCAGTGCTTAACCCCTTGCACCACCATGGAGGCCCTAGTTTATCTCTTTCTTAAGGCGTGTGAAATGTCATGGTTATTTCTTTCCTATATATTCTAGCAATAGCTTTTCAAATGCCATTTTAAAATTCTTCAGAATTATTTTTACCAGAACTACATTGAATTTACAAAATCAACTTGGAGAAAATTGACTCTGTTAAGCTACTGAGTCTTCTAATCCATAAACAGGGCTTCTTTGTCCATTTATATAAGCTTTAATACATTTCAATAAAATTGTGTTCTTCTCTATGCTATCTATTGTTAAGCAAGATCTTGCCTTGTACCAAGGTAAATGATAACTTTTAAATTATGTTTCTCTGTTTGCAGACATATTACTATAGATGTTATGTTTTATGTTAATTATGTATTCAGAAAACTTGTTAAACTTGTATTGTTTGTAATAATTTACCTCTAAGTGTGTTTGAGATTTTGTGAACATAATCACATCATCTGTGAAAACCAACTAGCTTATTTCTTCAGATCTAATGTATTGCTTTTGTCTTCTTTTGCCTTCTAATACAATGTCAAATGCAAGTAGTAATTGATTTTGAAATATTAAAACATACTTGCATTATTGGTAAACTCAATCTGGTCATGTAATATTATCTCCTGTATGCTGAGGGATATGGTTTAAAATATTTTGTTTAGATATTTTGCATTATTTTTAGAATGGAAAGGATTTACAGGTTTTCTTTCTCATCATTATTTGGTTTGGATACCAAGGTTATAACTCACTGCTTTATGCATTTCACATGTGAAGGATTTGGGGGCAGTGCAACAGGAATAGACTCAGTATCAGATAAATGCATGGTCTCTCAAAACAATTAACATGTGGTAACAAAAACTCACTGAAAGTGCCCAAAGTGCCAAAGGGGAAGTACAGATCATTGCTCCAGTCCTTTCCCTATCTCCAATCTATTCTCACTAGGTTTATTGTTGCTTTCATCCTTATATTCTGCCTCATTCTTCCACTTGTATGTTCCCTGAGATTATATTCTTAACTAAATTTCCTTCTCTTCATTTAACTCCATTCTCCCAATTTCATCTAAACCTCCTTTGAGTGATTAAATGTAGTTCAATTTCTTGGCTTCCACTGGTTTGCCTAGTGCTGTGCTCATCCCTGGTATATTAAAAATCAACCGGCTATTGAAGCCTGTCCTTGAAGAGGTTATAAGCTAGCAGGGGAACTTTACTGATAAATAATGACAGAGAGAGTCACACATGGTGCTTTTGGCTCATTAAAAAAGGGCCTCTAGCCCAGCTGAGAGCATCTAGGAAAGCTCTGTAGAGGACGAAAAATCAAAACAGAGTTTTGAAAGGTGAACAGGACTAAGTGAATATATAGGGGCAACCAAGAGTTGGTGTAGGCAAGAGCCTTAAAGGTAGAGAAAAACCAGAAAAAAAACAAAGGCACAGAATAATCATACCCTCCCAATGGCTCACTGGAAAGTAAATTTGTTTCCTAAACTAGTAAGCCCTATCTCTCACTGTACCTTTTAGCATTTTAGAATTTTTTTTTTAAGATTTATTTGTTTATTTATTTATACAAGCACTGGGTACAGTCAGAAGCGCGGGAGAGTGAGAGAATCCACCAGAGCCAGAGCGGGGAGCAGAGCAGGCAGAAGGACCGAAGTACACTGCTGAGGGGAGCAGCGGGCGGCAGGAGAGGTCTGCGCGCCATGTGGGACCCTCCTCCGGTGGCCAGGGAGCAGCCAGGGATTGAACCGGCGCTGCAGAGGCTTCGGGCAGCTTCGCAACACAGCGCTCAACTGCTGCGCCACCGGGGAGGCCCAGCATTTTAGAACTTTTTTGACAAACAAAAAATTTAATTAAGTTCCAAGTATTTTTAAATAGGAAAAATAACTTCATTTGTGCTGTTTCTTGACATCTAACACTGCGCATTCAGTGGTTCATTATTGTAATATATAATTGTTCTAGCATGTTTTATAGGAAAAACAAAATCTATAATTGCAGAGGAACTTAAAGGTATAGAAAAATTTGATAAAGTTTATTTGTTACTGTGTACCTGACTCATGAATAAATATCACCAAAAAGTGGTAGCTTGAAAGACAATAACAAGAAAACATACAATTCACTTGCATTATGAAAATAAGATAAAATAAAAAAATGGGTAACAAAACTATTACGTTATTTAGGCGAAGGTTCATAGTCTAAACTCTAACTCTCTTGACAATGACCATTTTCCTGTCTGTGCTCATTATAAATACTAATATTTCTGTCTACAAAGAATATTTCTAGAGAAAACTTACCAAGTAGAGGAGGTTGTCCACTTCCTGGGGGGAATGTGTGTGTGTGTGTGTTTGTGAGTGAGTGTGTGTGTCTGTACATCACTTAGGTCAGATCAAGTATGGATCCAGTCTTCAACAGAATGCTTGCCAAGAGCCTTATGAGTCTTGCTTTCAATGATAATACTACACTATCTATGACTATTGTAGATTTGGGGGGAGGGGCTGCAAACTAAAGGATGTAATTAAGCATAGCAATTTTAAAGATCCAGTCAAGTTAGAGTCTGTAAACAAGTTGTTAAAAAGGTTTGGCATTTCTCCTATTCTTTAGTTCCCTCTAATTACCATATAACAGCCTCCCTTTAAAAACAGAGTTGGCTTCCATTTTTAAGCTCCTCTCTCTCCATTTAATGGCAGCTAAAAACTGAGAATTATTTTATTACTTAAAGTATAATATTATTTTAGACATCTTGGTATGTCTACCATATAAATTGTGCAAACATATACTACTATAGTTTAAAGACATGTATTTAGTTGCTTTTAAATCATATAAACAGCTTTTTCTCAATGAAAAAAATCACTGAATTTAAACACAATATCAGTCATGGTGTATACTGTTTCGTATAAACATCACATGCCCACTTTTTCCCCTCTTAATATCAATCACAAATTATTTAGGGTTATGGGTTAAAAAACATCCATGGTTAAGTGTTAGGAAGTGAGTACAAACTATACTACTTATGTCTAAATATGTGCTATGCTTCAGAATTAAATATTATTTTTCAAATATGCTTTATATTTTTCAACATATAAAATGCACAGCTCTAGAGAAGCTCTTCAGGATATAAAGCTAGTTAATAAGACACATAGAATATTTAATGTCACACATGAAGCAGGAAGGTACGGATAAGCATTTTCCATCAAAAAACAAACCTTAATGAAATAGTTGTTATTATTATTGCAGTTGCCAGACACTCCTTGCAATTCAGCCACAGTGTTCTAAAATGGTTGATAACAAAAATTAGAGGTGGCTAATTCTCCACTAAAGAGAGAGCCTAGTGATAACGGATAGAAAAAACACTAACATGGCAGTGCTTGCTGTAACACACACCTTTGAAAATGATCGAATACCCCATTCTTAGTTTCCCAACATTATAAACACAATATAAAGCCAATTAACATTATTAACTTCACATTATTAAAAGGTCATCCATAATAATCGCAATCATTTGTTCATACAACACAAGCTGTCTCCAACCAGGAACAGCAAATAGCATGAATCAAATTTCATGTTATCCTTTTAAAGCTTTTCACACAAAAATTGTATTTTTTGTAAACCTTTTAACATTTATGCAAACCATAGCTTCCATCATAATTCTGCTTCTAATTATTGCAATGTTAATACAAGCAACAAAAATGCATATCTAAAAGTATCCAGTACTTACAAAGATTTAAAAAAATAAACTGATGTTGTCTTAATTTGGTTATAAAGATACTAATGTCCAGTGATGAAACAAATTATGAAAGATGAAACCATAAAATATAATAATTTATAAAATATAAGAGAATGATCTCAGTTTTCAGAATGATGATTAACCTCATCATGACCTACTGCCTAAGGAGACTTTGAAATGCTGTCTATAAACTAAGACTTTAAAATATAAGATTAAAAAAATAAGAAATATTAAGATCGAAAGGATATTTTAAGAGGAAAATAATCATTTTTTAAAGTGAATGTAAAATAGTTCATTTTAAGTGAATAAGTATTTTCTAAGTACCAGTTGGTATTTTATTTCCAGTTTGAGTCCAAAGCATTTCAAACTGCATAAAAAAGCTCTTTAATAAAAACAGACACCCATAACATACATCATAACTTACGGAACACAGAATTACATCATCCCACCACCAAAAGGCTAAATACTTATAGCTGTGGAGTATGACAGAAGATTAATTTGTTATTGAAAATTAAAATCTAGTTGAAAAAATTACCATACCCCTAGAATTTCGTGGGACAGTGCTGACTGTCTGAGGGGCTTACTGAAATCCTCCATGGTTACCTTTCAGATTGTTTAAAAAAAAGAAAGAAAAAGAAATGAACAGCAATTTTATTAAATCCAGAAATGTAATTACCAACCACAACCACAGATATATTCAGATCTATATTTAAATTTTTTCAATAATGCACATTTTAACTACCTCGTCTTTCTAGGATCCTCCCTTTTATTTTTCTGCATTTAGGTAGAGTCATTTTAACTTTTTTAAAAAATCAGAATGTTTAATGGAGAGTGAAGAATAAGAATGCAATTAAAACTGAAATGGCTGTTAGCTTATTTTAAATTCTTCTAGATAAATATTTGGAAGAAAAAACAGAAAATGCAGGGATTTAAATAGAATTTAGGGATTATCTATATATTTCAAATTCTATTTGCATATACCTTAAAATTTCCTAGAGTATTAAAACAGGTGTATCTAAGCATACACAGTTTGACAAAGTGTTCGTAATACTAAGTATGGTTCTGACAAGGACCACCGTATTTTTATAATTTCAGGATATATTTTTCACATTTCATTGTTTTCCATATAGGCAATTCAAGCAGAAATTTCCTTATATGAAGGTAATGAGTTCCAAACTAGAATCAACCTTGGATGATCTGAACACAAAAAGTGACGTCTGTCTTTCAAGTTAGACAATAATTTAAGTGTTGGTGCTGGAAATTAGTTGGATGGACATGATTGCTCTGCAGCTAATGAAAGGTTTTCCTGGCTGGTCCAGGAGATGGACCAGTTTGTGCAGTTTTCATCTGTCCTGTGAATTTGTTCACATTCATCCCCCCAAATTTTCAACTCAAGCCCCTGAAGATTTTTTTTTGATACAAGATTTCCTCTAATCATTTAAATAAATGCAAAAGAATATAACAATTATACTTGGGAGCATTAGATTCAATCTTCATTATTTGTGTAGTTTTTATCTCTTCTGTGCACAAAAAATTAGGGGTAGATTTTACTGAGCCAGGTTTTGGTGAGGCAGTGTGGAACACAAAAGAAAGGAGAAACAAAGTCAGAGAAGAGACAAAAGAAAAATCCTCAACTTTTTTAATAAAGTGAAGGTAACAGAGTGGCAAGCAACTGATTTCTATGATGTCTACAACTTGTAGACCAAAAAAAAAAAATTAACCTAAAGCAAAACTATAATTTTTGGTAAAATAATTCTATATGCAATGATTATTCCTTTTTATCTCTATAAAGAGGATATATCTACAGTAAAATAATTCTCTAATTATTTGATTCCCCCATTATTAGAAATATATAACAATCACAGAGCATATAAGTACTTCAAGAAACTCCATAACCAAAAACAGGAATCCCTTTCACAATATCTTGTTACCCAGTTACTTTGTGTGTGCTTGAATACAAACAGACCCATCAGTTTACTCTACCACAAAACAACAGTGTACTGCAAAAAAAATCAGGCTTAGGAGCAGGGAAGACACCCCAATTTGCCAATTACTAGCTATACAACTAGAAAAATCTCAGTTGCTACAATTAGAAAGAAAAAAAAAATGAATCTTTTCTGGCTTCTGCAAAGCTTACATGGAATCATGTAAGAATGGTTCCTTGCAAATTTCCTAGCACTGAATGCTTATTTATCTCCCTTACCCCTAAATATATTTGCTCAGTAGAAAATCAACTCTGTTTTTCTTATAAAAACTGGTAAAACAAAAAAAAAAATCCAAATGATATATGTGTCAGTATAAATGTTGAGTAAGAAATATACCTTTTGCATTTATTTAAATTACTAAATTAGGGGAAATCTTATATCAAAAAAAATGCTTAGAGGCTTGAATTGAAAACTTTTGGGGAAACATCTGATCAATTCCTCAATATAACAGAAGTCACTGCTATGAAATCTCAAAATGTCACTTGGGTAGCCTTAAACAACTATCACATTTTCCTCTTTTCTTTTTAGCCTTGATGTTTTATTTCATAGACTCATGGAAAGTTAGAAGCTGGGAAGGATTACGTAATTTAGCTCAAATGCTGACCTCTAAATGCAAAGACACTGAGGATGACAAGAAACTAGAAAGCTTGGCTTCACCTTCTGTCACTTGATGTCACCAATAGACCCCTCAACCTTAGATCCAAAATCTTTTTAAGCAGAGTGAGCAGGCAAAGACCAAACTTGCAGAGACAGATTCTACAATTCTGAAACAGGCTTATAGCCAAAGAAAATTAGGGTCTTTGATAAAAAAAAACAAAATACTGGTACAAAGAATTGAAAACTAGGCAAGATGAAAGTTGAAATGCTTGAGGAATTCACTTTTTTAAAAGCCAAGACAACATAGTTTCATATATAACATCTCAGTACAATGAGAAAACATTAAACATTTCAAATGGACTCTGCAAGTGAAAAGCTAAATCAAGTAAAATAAAATTCTAAGAGACTAATTCATTTACATAAAGATTCTAAATGTATTACTTTTTGATCAAAAGTTAACTGATATATCATTTAAATTTTCTACTATAAGAAATGGAGACTATATCCTCAGTATAATATAAATAGAAGAAAATTAATATACATTTGGGCTTAAACATTCCAGAATAAAGATACATGAGAAAAATATGAATGTCTGTTTACTCATCTTCACTATGTCTTGGCTAGAAACCAATAAAAAAAGTTCTGTTAAAAGAATATATTAAGGTGAGTAAAGGTTGAGCATTTGAAGGTACGCTGTCCTTCCATCAGTTGGTAGAAAAAAATATGTTTTACCTGAATATTTATTATGTTTATAGAGTATGAAATACTATAACTACTTTGTTGATGGATCTTTGGACATGCCAATATGAAACATATGCATGTTCAAACATGCTTATAATAAAGTATGTTGTCCCATTATATCAATGTACATTTGGCATTTACATTAGAAATAGAACCACATCTGTATTCTATTAAAACACACAAGGGTTCCGGAGAGCCGTTTTCACTTGGGGGTTAGCCTCTATTCATTTACTTGATCTTCTACAGAGAGCAGGATGTGAAATTATTCCAATATGTATCTACTCTGTGGAATATGCGCTAGTGGAAAAGCTTTGTTCTGCATTATGTTAGCACAAATCATACTGAACAGATCCAAAGAACTTTCTCTTCCTGGGGGAAAAAAAAAGACTTGAAAACACTCAGAAAATTTTAGTACTTTTCTGTGTAGGTTTGTGTATGTATGTTTTTTCATTTAAATATCTACTGATTTTCTGAAATAGCATTACATACTTATTGTAGGAAAGTTGGGACAAAATTCTGTAAATATAAAGCACAGAAAGAAAAAAATCACCTCCCAAAATAAAAACAAATACTGTTCACTTTGTGTTTTTATCCATTTTTCTTTCAAATAATTTCTTTATATTTTTGGTGGTAAAAGATGATGCATTTTACTCCAAAGTTTTCACACTTCATAACTTAATATCAAATGGAAGTATGTATCTTTTAGGTGAGATTATATGCAGACGTATCGCCCTTGAGAAAGTACAAAGACTCTGTCACGCTGCTGTCCAGAAAGGAGTTTTATAAAGCAGTAATTTAGGGGAAAAACACTTCCAAATTTGCCTCACCTCGTCATCATCTGCGTCGTACTGGGCATAGTGTTGCTCCAGCAACTCTCTCTGGCGTCTTTCTTGTTCCAGTGTCTGGCTTATTAACTGGGCAACTTCACTGACTTGTCCTGGTTTTTCTCGTCCAATGACAAATCTGTAGAAAGGTTAAAGAGGACTAATATAATTAGACTTTCCAGCAAAAAGGAGTGATAAGAAGAGTAACAAAGTTTGGTATCTCCTGAAGGTCCATCGAGCCTCAAAAAATATCACCTATAGAGTTCAAAGGGCATGCTGGGAGGAAACTAAGGTGAGCAGAGCAATTTCTTCAGATAAAGCCTAGAGGAAAAGAAAGGGAAAAAGTAAAGGACTATAAAAATGTTATTTTGAGAAGAAAAAAAGATATAGTCTATTCTACAGTACTTTACACAGTTTCAATGCCTTACAAATTGGTTGCAAACTCATTTCTTAAACCATTGAACTTAATAATCATTTGCATAATACTTTTCTCTTTATAATACAAAGCTACTTCAAAAACATTTTGAGGTATAACATATATAGAGAGGGTAAATTAATAGGCAGGCATTTGCTAAGTTACTATAACTTAGAAAATAAGAAAAAGAAGAGGAAACAAATGTGGACCTTGTATCTTAAATGAAAAACAAAAAAGAAGACAAGGAGGTTAATTAATTGACTTTTGGAAAGAGATGGTATGAGGAAGGGTATAGCTTCAAAAAATAAAGGGACAAAGGGAAAAATCTTTGACATTAATTTAGGTAAGGAAAAAACAGTAATGTCATTTACTTACTGCAAACTACAGACACCTGTGATATATCCTCATCAATAGGATGTTTTGCAATCAAAATATTCAACATTTAACATTTTACACATTAACATATGGTCCTATTTTTTCTAAAAATAAAAATATCTCTATCATTATTGTCTATACATAAATCAGTTAACTTTATTATTTTGAATGTGAATGTTTAATTTTGCTTTTATAATTGAGATTTTCCTGATTATAAAATGTTGCTACATTCAATCATACTTTTAAATGACATACTCCCCCATTTGTTGCACAAACACATTAAAAGCCAAAATATTTATATTTAGATAACTGTAGTTAAATGTATTTTTAGAAATATATTTATGCAGTTTCAAATAGGACATAACTTGGATATTATGGTTGGGCATTTCTTTATTAATTTCCTTTGGGAATTAAATAAATATAAAAGTTATAAATACCATTATTTTCATCTTCACTCAGGTATAATTTACACACAATTTATAATTTAAAACAGGCCACATCTGTTTTAAAAGTATAGTTAGGTACACTTTACAAATGTATAAACTTGTAATCACCACATCAAGTAAACTCTAGAGCATTTTCATTAATCCAAATTATATAATTTCCTTTTCTAGTAGATCATTCTCACTCTGGGCCCATATTAGAGGTTTCTATACATGAAAATCACGGTGTCCAGCTCCTTGGCTTACCATAATATTTTGGAGACTCATTTATGTTGTTGCAAGCACCAGTAATCAGTTCCTTTTTATCAATGGAATATCTCATTGCACTTTGTCAACTCATCACTTGACATCCTCACCAATACTTAGTAATGTTTTTTAAAATTTTAGTTATTTAATTAGGTATCTAATGATATCTTACAATGTTTTTTATTTTCAGTTCTCTGCTGACAAATGATATTAAGTAACTTTTCACACATTTGTTGACCATTCATATATTTCTTTAGTGGAATATCTTTTCAAATCTTTTGCCCATTTAAAATAATTGGATTGTGCCTCCCCCGTGGCGAGAGCGGTTGAGCAATGGGTTGCAAAGCTGCCCGCAGCCTCTGCAGAGCCGGTTCAATCCCCGGCTGCTCCCCGGCCACCAGAGGAGGGTCCCACATGGTGCGCAGACCTCTCCTGCTGCCCGCTGCTCCCCTCAGCAGTGTACTTCATCAGTCTGCCTGATCTGCAACCTGCTCTGGCTCTGGTGAATTCTCTCACCCCCCCGCACTTCTGACTGTACCCAGTGCTTGTATGTATGTATGTATAAATCAATCAATCAATAAATCTTTAAAAAAATAAAATAACTGGATTGTGGGGCCTCCCCAGTGGCCTACAGGTTAAGTCTCACTGCTATCACAGCTATGGCCTGAGTTTGATCCCTGGCCAGGGAGTTAACTCACACATTGTGTAACAGGCCTCTCCTTTCTCCTGCTGCTCTCCTCAGCAGTATATTTTAGTAAATCTGCCAGTTCTGCTCTCCACTCTTTGGTGAGTCCTTTCAGCCCCCATACCTCTGGCCTACACCCCAGTTCTTCTATGCAAAAATTAATAAACTAAAAAAACTGGTTGTTTTTTTTTTTGTTATTTACTTGAACTGGTTCTTTATATATTCCCAATGTATACCCATATGTGTGTGTGTGTTTGATGCATTTATATATATTTATACATGCACACAGATTAAGTGTGTATTTTTTATCATCTCTCAATCTGTGGCTTACCTGTCACTTTCTTAATTGTGTATTTCAAGCAAGTATACTTTTTCAAAAATTGTATTGTTTTGTATTAAGATAATACTGATTACTATGACTTAGAAGGATAGGCTCATATCCCTTCAGATGTATGATACCACACCACCCCCACCACCAAAGCAACCATATTCCCCTACCAGAGTCCTTTGAGCAAAGTGAGGAGAAGGCCCAACGAACTTTATCACTATTTAAAAGATCTGTGCCTATTAAAGAAATATTTGCCTTATTCAGGGTTATGATGGTTTTTGTCCCCATTTTTTTCTTAAGGTATTAATATTTTTTATTTTTGTTAGAGCTATTTCATATACAAAGTTTGGTAAGAGTGGAGTTTCATTATTTTTCAAATGGATGATCAGTTGTTTCAACACTGTTGTTGAAGGACTATTCATTACTGCCATTGAATTGCTTTGGCACATTTGTTGAAAATCAATTGACCATATATTTCTGATTTCTGGACTTTCCAATTTATTCCATTAATGTACTAATCCTTGTGCCTAAACCACACTGCCCTATGAATCTTGAAATATAATAAATCCTCAAACTAGGCAAGGGGAGTGCTCCAACTCTGCATAAATTTTTCAAAATTATTTTGACTACTCTGATTTACTTATATTTCTATATAAATTTTAAAATCAATTTATCAGTTCCCTTAAAAATTTGATTATGGATTAATTTGATTCTATAGATCTGTTTATGGATAACTCTCATCTTAATATTAAGTCATCCATGAACACGGTGCATCTCTGCATTTACTTTGAAAGTGTTACATTAAAGTAAACATATTTCTTCACTCAGACAGCTAATTTGGATAATGTTATAACACCCATCTACACACATCTTAAGACCTTGTAATCCAGATCTGCAATAACAGAATGCCAACCTCATAAGTATAGTCCAGAGAGAGAAAGTACATAGAAGTGGAATTGAACTATGCTCTGTCTAATTTTCCTCATGTGAAAATTAGTATCTGCCCCCATGTATCTAAAAAAGGAGTGATAAAAGAATAAAATATGCTTTAGATAAAAAAGGACCTTAAGGCACTATTACTATAATTACTATGACAAAACAGATAAAAATCTCCCTTTTAAAAACTATATAATATTCAAATTACCTTTTATATGTTCTAAATAACTAGCTGAATTTTAAGCTGCACCTTATAGCCTATAATAGTTTGTGTACAATTTATCATATGTAGAATTGAGCAGAAAATGAAAATTTCTAAGTAAGGTTATTATGTCAATTATGGATTCAGAGTACATATATGATAATATAAAAGATATATTCTATGATAAAAAAGTTTGCAAAAGGGAAAAATGGTTTTGGAAGGATGACTCCACTGAACCATAAATATCACTTACTGGTGCTGTACCCTTGAATGTACTAATATTTCTAATCCTTAGTTTCTATATTTGTAAAATGAATATAATGACTACAACAAATAATTACTATATAATCCATATAAAAGTGTAACTAAGTACCTGGTGCTTAGAGTGTTTTATAATGTTCACTGTTGTTTTTACCCAGGTGGTATGTTCACATCTATGTAGGATCGAGTGCATTAAAAGTACTATCTGTATATACTGTCCCAATTACCTCTTATTTGATCACACTAGCCTTGCAAATAAAGTAGACTTTTTGAGTCAGCCACAGGGAAAGTATAAAACACACCAAAGTGTGTTCTGAAAACCTTAATTTTAGTTGCTATTGAAATATAAAGTATGAATGACATGATACTTTAAGTTGAATTTTTTAAATTGTCAAAAATAAATTGATTAATAGCAACAATCAGTCCCTCTAAATATATGTGACCAAATCAACAGACACTTCGGCACAATTATGAGTTATATTTAGAAATTATCATTAAGATAATAAATGTAGTTAAATCAACTTGCTTCTAAATTTAAAGTTCTTGTAAGAAAAACATTTTTCTTATCACAAAAAAAATTTCCTGTTTCAAAAAACAATGGTGTGGTCTGTTATTTTCAGCTATAAGGAAACCAAGCTATATAAGCTATAAGCTATAACAGAAACCAAACGGTAATGATATTTAAATTAAGAATTATTATTTCCTAGTCTTATGATTGATAAACAATGACAATACTAAAACTAAAATCTATAATTAGTATATGTTTTTAGCAAGGCTTATTTCTAGTGTTTCAAACAATTATCTTGTATCCATGTGACTTGAAGAACTATCCATTCTCAGATAGTTCAGAAGAACTATCCATTTTCCCCTTCAAGCTAAGTGAGATACGACAGGCAAACTCAGATATATTAATTTTTCCTTTTCTTTTCATCTATTATCAGACCAACCCACATCCATGTACTGTCCTTTGGAACTTACATGATTAAATTATATGGGATTCATCTGATTAATTTATTGAATTCTTTGGAGAGCTATTAAAGAAAAACTAAACAACTATAAAATTGCATTCACAATTTGCTGAATTGAAGTTAAAGATCCTACATGTTCTGTGTGAATGATGTGAGAAGTTTATGTCAAAAAACGATTCATGAGTGCCTTGTTTTTCAGACATGTTATTGTAATACAAGTGATATTCTAGTCAAAAATAGCACTTAAATGATGCCAATACTTTAAAATTCTTAATGTGGA